ATAACCACATTAGGAAGGAAGAGGAAACAAGATAAGGAATGGATCTCGACGGACACATGGAAGCTGATAGAGCAGGAAGAGGAGGATGGTGAAGCAGAATATAAACCAGTGCGAGGATGCTCAAGGACAAGAGGAACAGAGTACAATGTATAAAACACTGGACAAAGAAGTGAAGGAGAGTGCACGCAAAGACAAAAGACACTTCTACGAAACACTGGCAAGTGAAGCAGAACAGGCTGAAGGTAGGAGAGACCTGACGACATTGTATCAAATAACCAGGTTGCTATCTGGGAAGAGATCAACACAGATGAAACCAAAAAGCTCTTGAAACGACCACCACCAGCATCTGCAAATCATCCAGAAATACCACCAGCACCCCAGCCACAGAACTACCAGGGCACACAGGCCCTCCAACAAATGCTGAAAACCTGGACGCCATAAAGTTTCTGAAATCTGGGAAAGCAGCAGGACCAGATGGAATTCCACCAGAAGCACTGGAAACAGACGCAGAGACAACAGCGGACATGCTCACACCACTACTGCAGAAAGTCTGGAAGGAAGGAAGGAAAGGTACCTGGTGGTTGATTAGAAGAAGGGCTACCTTGTCAAATTTCCAAGGAAGGGCGACCTAAGTTTCTGCAAGGACTGGTGAGGAATCATGCTGCTGTCCACTACAAGCAAAATATTTAGCCACATCATCCTAGAAAGACTAAAGAATGCGCTGCATTCAAAATTACGACCGGAACAGGTCGACTGGCTGGTTTCAGGAAGTAAAAATCATGTGTGGATCGATTTGCAAAGCTACACATCATCATTGAACAAAGCATAGAATGGCAATCAACTCAACTCTACCTCAACTTCATCGACTTTGAAAAAGCCTTCGACAGCGTCGACTGAGAAGTAATTTGGCAGTTGCTTCAAAACTACGGAGTGCCACAAATCTTTATCAACTTCATTCAACAGCTACATCAGCATGCTACATCCCTAATGATTCAAAGTGGAAAGCTCAGTGATGCCTTTGAAGTAAAGACAGGAGTAAGACAAGACTATCTACTATCACCCACGATCTTCCTGAATGTGGTGGACTGGATCATGCAGCAAACCATGAGGAGCGAGAAGTGGGGCAAACACTGTTAGACCGATGAAAAGATCCTAGGAGATTTGGATTTCGACGATGACTCGTGTCTAATGTCGCACAATCTCGATGATCTGCAGGTAAAAACCAACACATTGACAGAAGAGGCAGTGCAGTTGGGATTTCAAGGGAATATAGTGAAGACAGAAGTGATGAAGATACCCAACCAACAACAGCATCAACAACAAGCACCAATCACCATTAACGGGAGAAACCTATAGGAAGTAGTCTCTTTCACCCACCCAGGCAGCATCATTTCAACTACAAGCGGCACAGATGAGGATGTCACACCAGGATCGGAAAGACAGTAAGACAGGCTTTCATTAGCCTGAAATAATCACTGTGGAAATCTACTTCACTCAGCACAAAGAACAAGATCCGGATTTTCAACATCAATGTCAAGTCAGTGCTGCTATATGAATCAGAAACTTGGCGCGTCATGAAAAGCACTTCCAGTAATTACAGACATTTATCAACAGCTGCCGCCTACGCCCACTCGATACTGAAGATTAGATCAGAAAGCCAGAATAATGTGAATAAGCAACAAGAATCTCCGGCTGTCAACAAACCCAACCAACAACCCATCGTCCAACAAATATGCAGAAGAAAGTGGAGATGGATTGGATTGGACTGGACGAATACTGAGAAGACCGATTGGCGACATCATGGGTCAGGCCAGGCCGTCGAGTGGAATTCAAAGGGGAAACGACGACTTCGGCGTCCGAGGCGAGGGTGACATGGAGATCATGTGAGGAAGAAATGAAAGCTTGTGGGCAGTCGTGCAGCGGGGTTTAGAAGACTGAAGAGAACAGAGTGCAATGGAGGAGTGACTGAATCCTTATGTTCTACTAGGAACCCATGCAAAAATAATAATAATACGTACTTTTGGTAAACATAATCACCACAAACAGTTCATATGCAATCAATCAGATTAGCAAGTGACAACTGTGGTTATATTGTTGAATGAATTCAGATCAAACCAATAACTAACCACAATATGAATATCTTTCTACAGTAACTTCAATTTTCGATGTCTGTAATAAGTTAGCGGTGTGGCAGTTCTTTCTCTGACATTACCAACTTTACAATGTTTTGCTAATTATGTAACGATTACAAGAAAAACCTCTATAGATTAAACCAAGTTCAGCTTACCTACTTATTATGCCTCCGTTTTGTTAAGCTGATAATAAACGATGCTTTTGCTGATTGCAAAATATTACTTGTTGGTTATGAAAGTAATTATTAGCGATATATGGAAGCACATTGGTGTATAAGTTCTTCACTAATTACTTCATATTGTATAAAGGTTTCTATTTAATGCATGTACTTCCATCCTGTGTATCCGCACCTCAGTGATTTCTTTGAGGTTAGACATACAGAGGTCTACTGACTTACTTACATATTTTTACACAGATATATGCCGTTCTTCTGAGCAGACTAAATAATTTTAAAAAAGTGTTTCAGTTTTATTTGTTGATGCTTGTAATTACCCGTTGCTTTACAGGGTCGAATTGTTTGACCTTTGTTGGCAGATGGGCTGCTAAGCTAACATCTCGATACTGCCGGATATTCATCTTGGTGACAAGCAGTGGAATCCTCTTTGGGATTCGTCAGCTGAATGTAACTGCATCCCCGTAAGTGACGTCCTTCTCACTGAGACTTGAACCCAGAACCCGTCTCTTCAAACGACAAAGCGTTATCCAGTAGGTCACTGGGGTACGGTAGCCACCACCTGTATAATGAGTAGTTGTTGTTTATTGACATTTGTATTTGGTTCGGATCTCATTGGGAACATAAATACTTAGCTACAGAGATCTGAAATCGTAGTTCAAATGCTTTTACTTTAGTGGATAATGATCTAAAGTGGTGATTTGTGTTTTCACCAACTCTTATACGGAACAATATTGTTGACTGAGATACGTATTATATTCATCGTAAACTCCCCTTCCAGACGATACTACGTGAAACTCGCACCTAATTTAAAGTAGTGTCAGTTTGTTAGTGAAACAAGCATAAACGTCATGATATACTATTCATATCAGTCACGCACATCAACAGTCAAAATCTTAGTCATCAATGATACTGATCTGAACATGTTATATTGTCCAAGAAGTCAGGAAGTCATTGGATTTGAAATGACTAATTAATGAATTTTATCAGATTATTCACTGATCTTATCAAACATTCAAAGTAGAATTTTGTCTGGCTATAAATATATGCTTTCGCGAAAGCTGACTGATTTACTATATATAATTAAAAAGACGAAATTCATCGCATATTCCGTTCATAGCACTTTAGAATTTTCACGTAGATTCTGTAACGGCTTCATAAAGTCTATACTTATACGATACGCAATCCGACATGTGTGCGAACCACGTGCACATGTTTCCACACTGCCTTTGATTAGAAATCAGTATTATTTGGCAGTGAAATTCAGAATTTATGCTGCCTTGTGGTGAAGGTTAACCAAGCTGTTAAGCACCACATAGGACGAAATGTACAACCTCATTCTATTGTTGAATAATATCTAGGAGTACTCCATTTCGGGTCACTGTTTTACAAATCAGTCATTCATATATTCATTTCAGACAGACAAAATAAACCTAGGACCTCGTACACAATTGCATTGGTTCAGAGTGCCACACTTCATAGCAGCATTCGAAGAATAAATGGGGGGAAAAATATTGATATCACACGCATATCTGAACCAATTCATTGGACGAAACCAGCAACCACTTTAAGTGTTTACCACTTTTTCACAACAGTCTACTTTCAAACTTCGCGTTCCTAACACAAGCATCTCAATACACGTGAGTGATACCATGGGACTTAAACATGATTGCGAATTCTGAACCTTCATTCTTTATGTTTAATAGCTGTTCACCCACAGAGAGTTCATTGTTCGCAGTACAACTAAGTCTTGATAAGTATTCGGATATTCCAAAAGTGGGATAGTGGGAGGAAAATCAAACGAGTTTTTTTTCGTTCCTATTGATATTTCGTAGGACACCACCAACCAGTTTGAGAATTCCTAAATAAACGAAGTAATTACTAGTGCCAAACTTGTTTATGCTATAACTGTAGTCTGTGAACAGTATAATAACCAGTTATTGCATAGCAAACGATTTCATTTTGTTTGGCTTTCAGTATTGATAAATTGCGTTGTGTAACCATTACATTAAGTGACTTGAGATTCAACTGGATCATGTTTATTGTTAAACAGATAAATGAAAGTTTAAAGGAAGGAGTGCACTTTCATTTTGTAATTATACTGGGTAATAATTGAAGGTGAAATGAAACCCGGTGGTCGCTGGTTCGAATCCGGCCGCGGTCCAAATTTTCATTTCACCTTCAATCATCACCCAGTATAATGCTATTATTTACTGTCCAGTGGCCTATCAGTAAACTTAGTCCAATCATACAGGAGGTCAGTTGTGACTAGAATGGCTTATTAGTAATGCCTTTATGCAATGCTGGGTAATAAATGTTCAAATCACCGTGGGATTACCAGCTTTCTCGATGTTTGCGCTGTTAAGACAGAAACCTAAAAAATGGCTTCCGACTGACTGCTGTCAAAATGACAAATAAAAATTAACATTTTAGGTTGATATTCATCATGGATTGATATCAGCTGGGAGCACTGGAAAGCTGTTTCATCCCGGTATGAGACTATTCAGCAGTGCGCACCCACGACCCCAATGCCATACTAGGACGAAACACCTGTCCAGTGTTCCCATGACTCCAATATTTTTCATATTGATGTCACAGTCCACGATGAATACACCAACCTGAAATCAATAAATAAATCCCCTACACATTTTCAAGTAATTAATGTTAGTTTCCATTATACTAGAACAATAATCACAAAGGAGTATTGGCTTTAGGTTGGTCATTCGATAAATGCATAGGGAATTATGAGTTGACAATACTGCCCAGCAGTACATCAATAGTCCAACAATACACATGACAAGTAGTTAAATACATATGATACAACAGAAGTTTATATTTTCCCCTTTGAAAGAAAAATCACATTGAAAAGAAGAAACATTATTAAAACAAATCAAATAAAGAACACAAAATATAAGTGTAACACTTGGGCACTGTGGTCGAGTGTAATTCCATTTTAAAATAGAAAGAACACAAAACTATGCATACATTGTGTGTATATATGTGCACATTATTATGTAGTTGAAATATCATGAGAATAATCTTTGGTTATTCTCACAAACACAAGTACAGAAGTGGAGATCAGCGTCCATGAATTAGGTTCTCAGGGAAGAAGTGGATACCGATACACGAGGAAAAAAAAGAGGGGGAGAGCGAACAAACCCAACAATAAACGAACAAACAACATTTCTATATATGAACAATATATAGGAACGTTACCACATACCTTAGAGACATGTATATCGTATACACGGCAAAGGTGGAAAGATAGGCAATAGGTAGAACGCTAGTCATTAGGTAAGGAAAGTGGGATTAGTGTTAGATAAGAGTAGAGAATACACTCCAAAGACAATAAAACACAAGTGGAAAAGTGTGTTGAAGAAGTGACATTCTAAGAAATAAATACCAGGTATAAATAATGACGGGAGGAAGGCTAGTTGCTACACAGACAGTGATGCACAGAGAACAGGAGAGAAAGAGAGAGACATGGAAAATATTTATCACTACTTATTCAAGTATGAATACATTACACAGACGAGAGAATGCTCAAACAAATATGAATAATTGTATAAATGTTACAATATACATACACTGGTCAAGGGTATTCTCGTTCACCTTTTCCTCGAACACATCGGTACACTGACACCACTACACTACACAAAAGCAAACATATCAGTCAAGAGAGACCACTCTTTGTAATTAACTCAAAGAGAGATAGAGAAAAAGAGGAGAAGGGAAAATAGTCAACAAAGTGACGAAATATCCAACTCTGTATATTTTTTTAGCGGAATGCTTCTCATTTCCTATCATTACTACAGCATGAAAAAAAAGAGATAAAAATTGGGAACAGAGGAATACACACTTATCAGGAACAGGAAGAAACAATTATAAACAAAGGGCAAGCTGACAAATAAATTGTTTTGAGTCTAATTTTGACTAAAGAGATCAGAAGATAAAAAAGTTATTGATTAGTCTCTACTTGTGAATATAACATATTACATGGATATATGTTGAAAATAGGTTCCTTGTTTACTATGATACATGATGAAGTGATGATGTTTTGTTTTTTAGATTGTGTTAATATAACTATTTCACGGTTACTTTATTTTTTTTTTATCACAATCCTTTTGATTACAGTCAGTATCATCTGTTGAACCACTGTCTATATTCACATCAAAACTATCGACATCACTAGAATCACTATCTGCATCCTCCTCAGTACTGTTGGCATCATCATCTTGGTTGTCACTGACATGACTTATAGCATTATAATTGTTACCATTAGCAGTAGTAGTAAGATTACGTCGAATGTATTTCTTGGGTAAATATTGGTCTACGCCCTTCGGAGATTGAACACGCGTTATAGAAGACGATGGTATTACAGAATTTAGATTGGCGAACTAAAAATACATTAATATAAAGTGAGTAGTATATTAGTAAACAAAGAGAAGTTCAAAGTAGTCCATTCGTATTATCGAAGTTTAACATTATAAGTGTAAACTAGATTGAAAAACAGAGTACACTGATCAACTCGATCCTATTTTACAAATCACAGATAGACATGTGGTAACCAATGTTTCAATGACCTATTCACCTGTGAATCAGTGGAACTTGAACCTATACACACATATATATGTCCACATGAAAGTAACTTAATTGTGAACATGTGCACTAAAAGTGGTACATAGGAAAGACTGAACGACAACTAATATCTGTGAGAATCTTTACCACTTTACTACTAAGTTTCAAATACTTCAAAATAATCACTCTCGAACGATTCGTCTTCTTGTCAAACACAAAAAATACCTATGATATACATTTTTAGGCAAATTTCATCTACCCGCATTATTCATATATCCAACGAAACAATTTATAGACGATTAGACTGCTAGATAACTAACTTGACCTCGCACTCAGCCACTTTGTGCACATTCATGTAGTAGACAATAAGCCACACCTATTGTGACAACTAATGATACTACCTGGTTGCCCAAGCTTTAGTAAGTGGAACAGGGTTCGAACCTGTGACCCACTGATTGAAAGACATTTTCCTACATCATTTGGTCACAGTTCCACAACCAGTTGGTTTAGTAATACAAAGTTCATGTGTTGGGGATTAAAAAAACTGTCATAACGCTAACCTTCATTAAAAGAAAGATATGTTATAGAATCATCAGACAGAATACTAAACAAGAGGAATAGATTAGTGTCTTGATACTGTGACAAGTCGCAGCTTCAAATGAAGACTGTGTAGTCTAGATGTCGAATTGTGAACAAATGAGTTATACAATCAAAAGTGTTGCATTCACTTTTATCTGACTGACGGTTATACAATACTGTCCAACATAATATATACACAAAGTTCACAGGAAGAACATCATGAATTAGGCTTCTAAAGTTACAATTTATCTTATATCTTGACTACAATTATATGACAGTAAACAAATCAAAAGTCACATCTTAAACCTAAGATACTGGCTGGATGTGAGATTGTTATGCGGTGAGTATCTATCAACTTGTAAAATAACATGGCTTACTTAACCAAGAGGGAAATCTAACAGTTATTTTTTAATAAAACACAAACACAAACCAACTCCTATAGAAAGTTTACTTGGTTGTGGGTAGTAGAAGAATCCAGGATGCACGTTTCATCCTATTTGGGACTCGTCAGCTGGATATACGTGCACCCCAGTGAGTAGTGTTGTTCTCACTAAGACTCGGACCTCGTACCCATCGCTTCAAACGCCAAGGTGTTATCCACAAGGCCACGGAGGCACGATAGCCACTTCTTGTACAATGGGTATTAGTTATTACTATTTATTGATATGCTTATAATTCTCCCCTTTTTACAGCATCGAATTGTTAGACCTCTATTGGTATATAAGCTTTTATTCGGATGTCTCAATATTGCCTGAATATTAATTATAGTAACTTACTTGGTTATCGATACATTTCATTGAATCACATACCATATAAATCAAGCGAATCTGTGCAGCAGCCCATTTAGCTAATTGTTTATTCTTCTCACTATTCGAGAGTGATGTTGATAGAGTACTGAAACCACTAGTCTGTTGTTGTTTCATCAATAACTGATGATTTGTATTCAGCCTACTATGATTATTTTGATGAAGGCAGTTATTATTATTGACTGTAGGATTTCCATCAACAATATTTCCATAAGCATTTACTGTACATGGTTCATTCTGAAGTTTACTATCTGATGTCAATGAAAACAATTCAATTGATTTTGGTAGGTGATTATCTAGAGCTGAACATGTCTAAAATACACAACAAAATGATAATACAGTTAAAAAAAAGTATTCCATAGGATATCTACAAACTAACAGGTGAATGAACATAACTCATATATTTCATAGAAGAAGATAACTTATAACATTTTAGATCATTGGTTTAAATTATTAATGATTATAATCATTTTTTTTTATAATTATGATATTTTGATCAAAGGTGTAAAAGCCTCAAAAATGCAACTCGATAACTGTATATATACTCGTATACTAGGCAATAAGCCAAATTTAGTGAATGAGATTGAAAGATATGATAACTAACTGGTGCCTAGACCTCAGTAGGTCACATGTAGTTTGATTCCATTAACAGTTGGACGTCTAAACCAGTAAACTGATAAATATAATCTCACGACTTATTCATCTGAAAGCTTTCTCTAAGGCAATTAAGTAGGTCTGTTCACAAGTAACTTTTACTGTATGCATTTATGCCGGTATTTTTATACAGTCTATAGTTATTCCTAAGGACAAGCTACTCATCTTAAAATAACTCTGAAAAAAGCGATAATTGCCCACTACTAGAGTATCACAGAATAAGAAAAAACAGACCACAATCACCTTTTCATTTGCCTTGACTTGTCATGGAAACTGTCTCGGTATACTGCAAACAGCACTAATCAATCAGCCTTACAATATATATATATATAGACTTGGCGCGCTACGAAAGACATTTATCAACAACTGCCTATGCTCAATAGTGATACTAAAGATCAGATGGATTGACAGAATAATGATATTTTGACCAAAGATGTAAAAGCCTCAAAAATGCAACTCGATAACTGTATATACACTCGTATACTAAGCAATAAGCCAAATTTAGTGAATGAGATTGAATGATATGATAACTAACTGGTGCCTAGACCTCAATAGGTCACATGTAGTTTGATTCCATTAACAGTTGGACGTCTAAACCAGTAAACCGATAAATATAATCTCATGACTTATTATCGAGAAAATATTTAGTTATATTGTAAACAACTTTTCACTAAAACAACATACAATAACGGAATGAAAAGTTATACAAGTAAATTTTTTTCAACAAGAAATCAACAAGTCTCTCTCTCCTCTTAAGAATATAAAATTACCAACTTCATATTTTTTTTCTTGATGAATTTATAGAATATCTACCAGTAATTTTTTTGAGAATGGTGAAAAAAACTTTAATTTTTTGTACTTGTATATATGAATGAAATGCATTCGAAACTGAACAGATTGTGTAATAAGTTAGGAACACTTAGTCTACAATCACTTACATATTAACTAAAGTTCAAATAAGAAAGATGACTTCAATCTACATCTGAACAAGTCTGTTTTAAAACGTTGAACAAATAAATTTAACTGTAGTAACTTAAGGAGGGTAGAGGATGAGAAAAGCTGAAAGAAAGATTTCATCTGGATGGACAACAATGGATGCATCCCACTTCAAAGACGAACAAGGAAAAATATTGTCAAACTTGATATTAGCTGGTATCAACCCAATAGATAACATAAATCATATCTCTATCAGTGATTGCTGCATGGGAATGGTAGCTTTGTTCACATTTCGTTATGAACATGTATACAACACTAAAATGCGTGCAAGATATACATGTAGTGACTGGTTTGAAGATTGGAGAATTAAGTGTGCATAAATACCGCAGCATGAAATCACCCCCTCGTTACTTTATTTCTAGGATGATGTTGAAGCATAAGTGCATACATTTAGTAAACTGCAAGAAAATTAAGTAATTGAACTAGCCTTATTCACCTTGATCCCGTTTGATACTCGATACTGCTGATTATTCATGATGTTATATTTATCTAAGTGACTAGCAGAGTAATCCAGGACGCCCGTTTCATCCAATTTAGGACTCGTCGGCTGGATGCACATGCGCGCTCTGGCATTCGAAGCAAATAGTAATGGGATGCAGGTATATTCAGCTGATGAGTCCCAAAGAGGAAGAAACGCGGGAAATGAAGAAGATTGGGGCGATTTTGTAGAAATATTTCAGTCACCACATTTATAAAGCCTATTAAGAAGTGTCACTTCTAAGAATTGACGAGATCCGTGAAACGATCCCTTGGAATGAAGAACTAGCACAGGCAACTAAAAGTACGTTCATATTGTTTACATATGAAGACAATGTCAACGGTTTCAGGAACTAACTTGTTACTCAGAGATTTTCTGGGCAAGTACGTACAGCCTCTCTAGTTAAGGTCAAGTAGAACACACAATTTCCTAATACGCATGAAATACGGTCAACAAGATCTTTTAAAAAAATAAACTTACAAGTAGCAAACCATATAAACTGCGTAAGTTATTCGGACATAATAGACAAGCTTGAGTATAATAGGTTCGTGCCAATTCAAGGTTTTCTGTACCACCTTCAGTGTATTTTATCTGAAAACGTCGTGAAAACAGCAACAAAAAGCATACCATATTGATTTCATTGAGTATTGTATGGAATAATCTAAAATTTTTACACTAAAATTTGCAGAAATCATAAGACTTTGTGTACTGTATCTAACATTCCCGATGGTGATAGTCAATGCAGGAACACAAATTAATACCGATTGAAATGAGCACTTCACATGACTATAATAATATTCTTTTGTGCAATCGATCGAATAAATGTTCAATCATACAAGTAGAATATTTAATTAGAGTGATAACAGCTGATTTCATTGAAGCGCCCATTTTATCATCATCATTTATAAGCGGAATGTGTACAGTGCTAAACATAAGTCGCTGAATAAGTAACGAGATGGTAATATATTCACCAGTAAACCTAAAGACTAGTATGTATTAATTGTACAAAAAATGATCAGTTCGCTTAAACAGTTAAGAAACAGATATCCAGTACTTTCTGTTTTTATGTTACTCCTTCATACAAGACTAGAGTTCAATGAAAATAACTTTCAAAAGAACTCAGATACTTCATGGTAGGAAATGATATAGGATAGGACTATATGAGCATCGTTCCTCAAGTGAACTTTTGATGAGAAATAAATTATTGATTTGATTATAGGTAAGATATTCCAGAATCTTGATAAGATAGATATTGTTAAAGTGAGACATGAAGTGTAAAACTAGTGTTTACGGAAATGATCTCTAAACAAGTGGGAGACAAGGCACGGTGTTTAGTAGTTAATATTCACGGTTTTAGTTTGGAGTAGGAAAGCGTTCCATTTATACACATTTGGGAAAGAAACCTGCAAAAAATCTCATGAAAATTTATAAATAAGGTAAAGGAATTAGTGAATTCATATACTTTACCTCAATACAGTCTCAATAATAATCAAAACATTCTCATTGAAACAGTAGCTGGAGGATAGATAACATTCATGTATGACTTGATAATTCATTTTTCACTCTCATTTCACTTATGAAGAATTTTCACATCAGTTGTAATCTTACGCACATTTTTTTGTGGACTTTTAGCTTAGATATCTGAATATAATCCATTCAACATCAGTTGTTTAAATGAATGAAAGGAGATAAGTTTTTAACAAAAATAAAAGTTTAAACCTATAAAAAAGAGAGAAGAAGGATTGAAGCAAATGACAAATATGATATAGCGCTATGGATTCATCTGTATTACTGCAAATCGATTTTTATTCATTTCAACTGGAGTCTCCATCTATCGGTTTTACCGGTCATACGAGTGCCAGTCTACACTCACTCATAAGGTATGTACCAACAGTCAGAGACTTTATGAACTGGTGTTGCATTTTAGACTAATCTCTGTCTAGCCCTAAAGATAATTCAGCGAAAATCACGTATTAAAGTGAACAATGACATGCCTAACCAGCTTGATCGGTTAGAGTTTACGAACTGAGCAAATGACTTGCCGCTTATACCTAAAACTCTAGACTCGACTACTGCATTACTGACGTAGTGGTACTACGACATGCAGCTTGTGCTACGAAAGCAACAGTGGTTGAGCACCTGAAGCCTTCTCATACCTTTCAATTTTCGTAGTCATGTTTCACAGATACGTAGAAGAGAAGTGAATCAGTGTGTAGTACACTCGACCCTTAACAGGTCAGCACTCTAAGTTGGAAGAAGTCAAATCGGCTTTTTGTATCCATGTAGAGATTTCTTCCATCACTGATGATCCGACTTTTTAAGTATGTGAAAAGGTCAGCGCGCGAAACCTCTTCATTCACGATTGTTAGATAGGGTGCAAAAACATACCAGACCTGGAGCATAAATTTCTATTTGGGTAAGTAACACATCGAACACATTTTTAAATTGCCACTAAAGGTTTATAGAAGAATCTTCACTCAAAAGGACTGTCATCTACTTACTACTCCAGGTCTATTAATGAGTCTTCTATGATACGGTTAATCAGTCTAAAGGTAGAACAGGAGAAGGAGACCTCCATAAACAGGTCTACGACAAAATTAAATATGAATGAAGCGACCGAACTTCCTTGACGGACACTAATCGATTTAGATAAATCACCTTAACACCATGCCGTAGGCTTTAACAAGATTACGAAACACTGAGTATAGTAATATTCTTCTCCAGTATCCTTTTCAGTGAAAAAACATTGCCATTAAACCTCTCCATCGATGGAATTGAATACCACTCCCAGATCAAGAAATATGATTGTGGTCCGAAACCTGTGGAAGGGTGACAATTGAATCAATGCACTTCCGTCCAGGATTGAAATGTTTATGATTTTCTTCATCTTTAATTAGGCAGTTAAGAATCTAAGACAAGTTGTTCGTCAGACCGATTTATTTGACGTTATCACAATAGGATCTTTCTTCTTTCTTGAAAACTTAGACAATCAGTGATCGAGACCAGTCAGTGATAGTCATATTTGATTTCCGTATCCTACTACCTAACACTTCAGTCAGTCAAAACGGTAATCCTTTGGTAACTGACACGAGGTACCTACAACAAAATTAATCAGCTCAAACTCCACAATACTTAAATAATTTAGGTTAAGTACATGCTGTTATGGAAGTCAATGAGTCGAATATTTCTGATATGTCAGATACACCACCTACTTGACTGTTCAGAATGGAATGAATCAGAGTCAATCTGAATTCATAACTTATTAGTTGATATAAATGCTTAAGAGTCTACGACAAATCGAAATGGACTACTTTTGATGGAGTAGTCATAAACCACTTACCATGCAATATACAGTATTGATTAGAGAAATAAGTTTAATCAAAAAACAAGACACCATATAACATATGAGACAGAGAAACAGACAAACGGAGGAGTGAACATTCACAGCAACCTTAAAACAACTGAGTTAAAACAAAATTTATTTACTATTGAATAAAAGAGTTTACTAAGAATCAATATTCTCTACAAACAGTAGGCAGATCACACTCCATATATGCAAAATAAACAAACAAACAATCAATCGCCGAATATCGATTCAATTCATACTTGCTAACTTAGCATTTACTCAAGTAGAGGAGAAAATTCACTCATGTGTACATAATTGTAACTGATGTTGTACTGTTGTTATAAAAGAATATTCTTTCAGATGAAGACTATGGATAGTTCAAATGGATTTTGTTCTTTTTTACACCCATAGAATCACTTACTATTGTTTGAGCTTGTTTACGTCCGAAATGTATGCATGCTACAACGGCTTGCCGATATCCATAATAAGCCAAAACATTGTTGCCCAGTGTTACCCAACGCTGATGCCTTCTTTATCTCTTTCGCTTTCGTCACCCACCAGTGCTCTCAGTCAACGCGAAAATTCTTAGTCAACTTACGCTTAAGCTACCTTCGCTCTTCAACATGGTCATAGCCAGCTGGAATAAGTCTTGTCGCATCAATCCATTCAGATGACGTTGTGGAAATCCACTGACATTTGCTGACCTTCGGGTGTAGGTGACCAACTGCCTTTACCACTGTTTCAACGCCACGTTTCCTCAGGACGAGGATTGATGTCACGTTTAGATAAATGCTTACCTAACTCCTCTCTAAATACGTATTTGGCGTCCTCGTCTTCCAATCAATTAGAGACGGGGTCTACTATCGCCTTTTTCCTACGACCAGTAAGGCACAGATGCAGATGAGCTCCTATTAGCGTGTGATCAGAGTCCACACCGGTACTCTAGAAAAAGCTGCAACTCTCCATCGATCCTCTCCAATGACGGCTTATAGCAATATCATTCATCTGTGTCTATCGTTGGTTTGATGTCCGCATACGTCATGTGAGACAGTGTCTCTTCTTATGCCTAAAGTCAGTACTGGCCAGAAACAAGCGATTGCAGAAACAAAATTACAACAGACGATCCCTGCTGTCGGTTCGTTGACATGGGATCCCCTAAAGATGACTTTCCGATTGGCTCAGCTCCCCTACTTAAGCTCTAAAGTCACCTGCCATTACTACATTTGAACGTTTTTCATTCTGTAGAAACGTTGACGGCTTCTCATAGAATTCTCCCTTTGCATCACCTGAACTACAGTCGGTGAGTGCATAAGCGAAGATTAGGAATAGGCATCACTTAGTTTCTTGATCGTTCCTAGCCATAGAGGGTTCGGGCGATGAGAGATCTCATATGGAACTGGTAGTGAGGCCTTAGAAGATTAGGAATGGTGTTTTGCTGGCTTTCATCTTCAGTAATACATACCGGATTAGAAGTTGGGGAAACTGTAGATAGATTAGAGTTGGTGACAGGAAAATATCAAAATAGCAAGACGAAGGTAAAGAAAAAGGTTACAGTTAGGCGGTCCTATATCCTATTGGAAGCGTGTGCGCAGTTGGCATTCCTGGATGTCCGCACCTCAAAAGTTGATATCATTGTGGGATACTTGAAAGAGAAAGTGTATTAGTTTTGCGTGACCATATAGCCTATGAGATATTTGTTTGAGAACAGTTACACATGATCTTTTTGAGAGATCCTAAATTGAAGTGATTTGGGTCACGTTCGTAACTGAAGAAACACCTTTACACGCTAACGCCGTGAGTTTGGGGAGCATGGAGGAGTGCACTACTTTTATAATCAACTTTCTCAATCCTCCTTTCCAAAGGGAAGGTAGTATCAGTATGGAAAGCTGGTTACCTACAAACATCTACGTTTCGTTACAACACGTACGAACAGCAGTAGAACGTCACTCAGTAACTCTGACCATAGGTTAGACTATTTAAACTATGACCGTAACCGGATTTCATCTATCACCCAACAAATGTTCCCGGTATGAGACGACCGACAAAGGACAGTTGTTCCAGCATAACTCACTGGCGTCTTTCAGACAGGCAAGCTCAATCCCGAAGTCAAGGTCTGTAGCTGACTACATAACCAATATCATTAAATCAGTATAATAAACCATTAAATGACTGCAGACAGTCATTCTAAATTTACAAGTAACAGCTAGGCATCAAAATAAAACAAAAATTTACTTCAGCATAACGTTGACAGTAAAGATGATTCGAAGGATTGGACAGAATCATTTCTTCCATACAAAATGCAGCATGTTTGTAGTCGCATTCCGAAAGATAAAGATCAGCCAGCTCATTCCATGCCTCGAAATCGCTCATAAATCTAAAGGTTGTAATACAAGGTAATACGAGGTACAAGATTTAATCTCATGGTTTTTGTGTTTAATATTGACTAGCTACTAAAATGGATTTGAGTAACTTCACACAATAAAGTAATATTCAATACATATCTCAAAACTAGGTCAGGTTAGAAACATCAAGACTAAAGGATCCCATAGAAAAGTAGGTGAGAAAAAGATGACTAGTAATTATTTACCACAAACACTCTATTCAAATAGTCGACATAACTTTTCTGTTTAAATAAATTTACTAGTGCTTGAGGGATTTATAAATAACATCATCACCATCAATATCAACATAGGACCAGGCATTACTGCGTAACCCTCTGAGTTGCCACACCTCATATCAGTACATCAAGTAAAAAGGCGGTGAATTGCAACGCTAAGTTAAGAAAATTCAGTCGAAAGAAATATAAGGTACAAAAAGAGAGAAAGGAAGGATGAGAAAACAGTGAGATTCGGTATAGCGTCGTTAAGATGTATTACAATCATCCAATTACATCGTGATTTGGAGCAAAGATCAATGTAATACAGGTGAGTGAATAAGCAAATAGGTCAGAGAGGCTTTCTTCAGTTGTGTGAGTAAGGTAGAACAAAAATAGGGTCGGGAAAATTTTTAGTTTGTCTATGAAAAGTGCAATGGGGTTATGAGACATCAAGTGTGAGAAAGAATAGATTACATGTTTGGAAGGATGAATATTTAAACATCAGACAATATACAATAAATAAATAAATAATAATAATGATAACGGTAAAGGTACTTTTGATAACACTTGAAGTATGAGTGATAACAAAATGGATTATGTTATACATAGAATGGTTCATAGAATGTATATAACTCAGAAAGGGGAGTAAAATTGATGCCCAAGTTTATTCAAACTATCCAGTCCATTGTTGGTCAGGATACCTTCAAACTTATTTTCCATCTCATTCGAGAGTTCCATAATTATACTACGATTTCTTGAAATATCAACCCATTAGGATTAATGCAATTCCAAAGATAAACGAAGTTGTCAATATGCTTAGGTAAGTTTCAGCAAAGTATATGTGTAGGTCAAAGCTGTGCCATCAGTGATAAATTCTCATTGACAGTTTTTTATGATGTGCTGCAAAAAAAAACACTCAACATGTACATGAACTGATCAACAGTGTGTAACCAATGTAGTCGTTTAGTACTTAGTGCTGAGTACTGACCGAAAATGAACAACAAACTTCGGTTCATAGTGGTGTGAACAGCTGGCTAGGTGGTAAAGTCTCTGACTTTCACACTGCATGGGGCTCGGGTTTCATATGCAGACATAGCTTGCTGATGAGTGCCAACAAGCACAAAATCTAGGTTCAAAACTTCTTGTTGACTAACTTCTAACATATGTTAGATGTTGTTATTGACGTTTTTCCCTGAAAATGTTTCACCTATAATAAATATCCAGGCAGCATAGAGGCATCCACACAGAAACTCATGTCAAAAGAGGTCGAGCATTTCGAGCCACTGTAGCAACAGAGAATTATAATTATCAGTGAAAAACAACTAATACCCGTTGGGAAACTGGTAGTTTTCGTAATCCAGTGGCCTAGTGGAAGGTTTGGAGCGGTGGGTAATGGGTTCGAGTCTCTGTGGGAACGACATTACTCACTAGGGTGCGGATACATCCAGTTCCAAATAGGACGAAACACGCGTCCTGAATTCCACTGCTGGCCACCAAAATAGACTACAAAGTCTCACCACTTTGTACCTTAGGTTTATCAGGGAACTTTTAGATGGGGAAATAATTCACCCGAAGTTATAAACAAAAGGTTTACTTCTAGGAGATAAATATGTTATATACACCTAATGATTTTTTTAACTTCCTACCTGTTTTCAACGATATCAAGTCAAATTTTAACTTGAATATAATTCACGGAAACAAAACCAGTTTAACTTCCTAGTTTGATTTCAATGATAAGAAGAGGGGGTGGTAAACCTGTCAAGATCAGGTATATAGAGTACAGATACGCGAGTGTAATGAGTACACGAATAATTACTCTTTTCCCAGGTAAGTTACATTTCAGGCATAACTGGACCACCCTGCGAAGATGAAAAACTGAAGTCGCAAAATTAATTGGCAGCGAACTTGATATTTGCCGCCGAATGTAATCATGCAAGCGTACCATACACTTCAGGGGATCGACCATGAAATATGAATGTATACGACTGGAAACAAACCACTCAAGCAAAACATTGTGTCTGCATTTATTGGTCGTACAAAAATGATAAAATACAAATAAGAGGAAAAACTGTAAGGTGAAGATCATCAGCACCTACTATCTAGATGCCTGGTTGACTCTCGTGTGCAATAACATTTGGTATGTTCGGCAAATCTACTTTTGAACACGTCTAACAATTGATATTTATCAACCTCATTCAACAGCTATATGACGACGCTACATGCCAAGTGATTCACAATGGGAAGTTCAGTGATGCCTTTGAAGTAAAGTGAAGACAGGAGTAAGACAAGACTGCCGTCTACTATCACCGATCATCTTGATTGTGGTCAAATGGATCATGCAACAAACTGTGAGGAGCGACAGAATGGACATACGCTGTTTGACCGACGAAAAGACCCTAAAAGAAGATTTGGATTTCGCCAGTGATGATTTATGTCTAATGTCTTGTAGCACAAACTCGAAGATCAACAGGCAAAAACAAACAAGTTGACAGAAAAAGCGAGGCAGCGAAAATGGGACTTCAAGTGAATGTAGAGAAGATGGAGGTGATGAAGATACTCAACCAACAACAGCATCAACACAAGCACCAATCACCATTAACGGGAGAAACCTATAGGGAGTAGTCTTTTTCAACTACCAAGGCGGCATCGTTTCAACTACAGGGGCGGCATAGACGAGGACGTCAAAACCAGGATCGGAAAGACAGCAAGACAGGCTTTCATTAATCTGAAATAATCACTATGGAGATCTACTTCACTCAGCACATTCATTAACAGCTGACGCCTACGCTCAGTCGATAATGAAGATAGAGATCAGATGGCCAGTAGGAATAAGCAACAAGGAACTCTGGGAACGGACCAATCAACTAACAATCTATCACCCAACAATATACAGAAGAACGTGGAGATGGATTGGATTGGACATACACTGAGAAGACCGATCGGGAACATAACGCTTCAGGCAAGGCGCTCGAGTGGAATCCAAATAGGAGACGACGAGTTGGGCGTCTGAGGATGACATGGAGGAGATCGTGTGAGGCAGAAATGAAAGCTTCTGGACAGCCATGGGGTCAGGTTGAAAAGACTGGAGAGAAGAGAGTGAAATGACGACGAGCTACTGGAACCCTATGTTCCACTAGGAACCAAAAGGACAAACAATGATATAGTAAATAATAAGGGTGAAATTTTGACTAGTTTTCAAAACAGAGCGAAACACTGTCCTTCAACCTGAACTAATTTGAAATAAAGTTAACCAATTGTTGTTTCTTTGAAAGTGCTTAGAACCCATGGGTAAATGAAAAATCAGGAATCAAAAGACAACAGTTATTTTGACTACAAGGTTGAAAGCAACTGCATGCCTACATGCTTATGAAATGACTTTTTGCTTATACGTAACTATAATTGTACATTATAGATAGTAATAATTAAATTTCTGAAAAAATTGAACGATGCTTGGGGTAAATACTAAGCTGTAGGTTGTTTTGAGACTCATTTAGAGCAGATGTTTAAATAAATGACAAAGTTTTTTCTCTCATAACTTCTAACCTGATAAAAGTATTGACACAATAAAGTAACATATTTGATTGACGATATAACGGATTATGTGGAAACCATTTCTATCACTTAAAGGCATGAGAAAAATATAATATGTGAGCTCATGACTTACATTTTTAAGTATTCCCGTAATTCATTAATTGCTTCAGGTATTCTTTGTTGACTTTTTAAAATTGCAATCATTCGTTTACGCGCTAACTATTGAAATAAAGGGAAAAAAAGTAGAGGAAAGCAATGAGGAAGGATTCAAAAGACGAAGAATAGATTTATACACTTTTGCGCTGATAAAAAATCAGCCTGAAATTCAAATTTCTATTGGTTTAAAGGTTTATCTCGAATAATCATATCGAAGTAAATATCTTTGTTAGGTTGTTTATCTAACTATTTACTATTGTATATAAGTGGATCGGTTAACAGCACAAATACCAGTGCATATAGAAGAGTTTAATTAGGAAGATAAAGGATAGTTATGTTGGTTTCACATCTATTGGTGCCTCAAAATTCCTTAAATAGTATCTGAAAGATCATGCAACTCAATGGCTTAAGACGATAGTAAATATAACTTGGAACCGAAACCAGTGGCAATCATGTTGCAGGTTTTTGTACAAGACTATGAGCTATGGTGAAGTAGGTTGAATTGACCTTCAATCCAGGACCCAATCCTCCGAAGTCAGGTGCCTACACCAATAAAGTATATCACGTATTCAGAACGATATATACCTTCTTTTACAATACATAACAAGGCTACACATTTGGAAAACACAACTTAATAAACTGACATCAGTTGGAAGGACAAAGGAAACCTGGGAGCACTGAACAGCTGTTTCGTCCTAGAGTAGGACTCCTCAGCAGTGCGCACCCACGACCCCGCAAAGGGATCGAACCATTGAGCCACTGGGTCAGAATCCAATGGTCCATATTTCCAACTTCTGTTAGCTCACGATATAGGGCAACCGCCACCCAATGTCATCGTTGAGTAACTGTCCTCGTAACCACCAGGCTTTCATCATCATCATTATCAACATCAACACCACCAGGCTTTGTCCCCACCGGTCACGACTTCTCATTGGAACTTCGGGACTACCTCTCGAAGCTAGTCACCACTGGGTTCTAACCCAGTGGCTCAATGGTAACGTGATGGCCATGGAACCTGAAGGTCTTGGGTTCGATCCCTGGAGGGGTCATGGGTGCCCACTGCTAAGGAATCCCACACTAAGACGAAACAGCTGTCCAGTGCCCCCAGGTTTACTTTTTTCCTCCAACTGATGATGAATAACAACTTGAAATATTTCCAAAACCCCACAACTCCCTCAAAATACAACTTAATAAGATAATAATAGAATCTTTTTACATTGACATTTTGTAACTACACAAGCAGTTTATACTTTCTTAAGATATTGAAAGTACTAAATAATCATTAATCAGTTAAAACATATGGCACATTACATGGTTTGAAATATCATCTACTTGACATTATACGACCTCAAGTCCAACCTGAAATCTTAGTACATGAACTAAATCAAAAAATAATGCGTGTAAAAATTCAGTGTCAGTCCATGATGAATACAAACTTGGATCAATTTTCGTGTTGAAAACTCTCAAACAACTCAGTTTTATACTAACTAGTATTTGTTGACATCGTTTTTGTCATACAACCTCGATGAGACTATACCTACTTTACAGATTGGTAACTGTACCAGTCAGTAAGTGCTATGGTGAAGGACATTACCGCTAAGATGACTGCGATGCAACTGACTTTTGTAAAACTGATACAAATTTACTGGTTAGTTACTGGAAGATAAGTGATATCACAAGCACTGACTAAATTCTATCAATAAATTTTGTAATATGGCTGAAAAGTTGCGTCAATCGACCTAGTAATACATTGTACTCACATAGAAAGGAAGAGAGTGCTATTTAGGTTTTAGAAACGATGAACGGATTTTATTTGCCATAACGTTGTAAGAACTTGCTAAATAAAGGTCATTCTGTTAATCAAACATTAGAAAGACTTGACCGTATGATACTGTATGGCAATTTTTAACAGTACACAAGCGGTGATGGTCATTTCACACAGAAAGAATTTCAGGGAAATACATCAACTGATGATGAATACTACTTCTAAATTAAAATCCCCATTCATCTCAAAAATACATTACTCTATAGTGCTTATTAGTAACATGCTTCCAGGTAGATATCACGAAGCTCTAATGAGAAGCCACGACCTGTGGGGTCAACCAATCGGAAGGGAAGCAGATGCTAACTGAAGACCTTAGGTGATAATCGTGCTATGTCGTGAATTGACAGAAGTTGGAAACTGTGAATCACTGAGAACCTACCCAGTGGTTGAATGGTTAGCGCGTTTGCCGTGAAACCTGAAGGTTCTGAGTTCGATTCCTAACCGGGTCGTGGGTATGTACTGCTTAGGAGTCCCATACTAGGACGGAAGAGCTGTTCAGTGCTCACAGATTTTCAATGGCTCACCAACTGATGTCAGCCCCTGATGAATACTACCTCTAAATACATCAAAATTTTGCACATTTCTAACTTGTAGTGATAAGAAAAAGTGAAAGCCAATCACTAATTGCTCAGATCTTTGCTGTTACACATTGATTTTAAGGTAACAGGAACAGAATCGCCCATAACTGTTAGTTATTGGCTTTCAAGTCAATGGTAATATAATACAGAGGAAAAATATTACGAAGCGCGAATAAAGGAGATTGGTACCACTATTTTATCCATTTTAGAAGACAGTAGACATAAAACTCACAATATTGCTCATAGTATTGCTCAGCTCAAGAATGTTTTATTGACCTTTCACTTATTTCTGTATGAATTATGGTTCCAAAGTAACTAAATGTTGAGTAAAGTCCCTACTTATTGTGCATTATTTCACTCCTAGTTTTATGAATTATGGCGGGGTTGTGGACACTATTCACTTGGGTATATAAGGATGACTTAGATTGCAAATATATAACAGTACGCAGCATCAGACTTTGTCTCGTATTGTACGAAGTAGGGAAGAGGACAAACCGAGTGTCTAATCGTATGGGTGGAATTGTGTGTACGAGATACGGTAATAACATGAAGGATTAATTACAAGCAAAGACAGCGTTAGAGGTGGATTTCAAAAAATGATGGGCTACAGAAAATTAAAACTATGCAGGTTACTCAATCAGAAAGAAAGCCTTTATTAAGTCTGAAAAAAGGAAGAAACAACTGTCGTGTACTTTCTAACCCTTAGAGGTTTTTACAATTGTATGCATTTATGCTGAAATTCCTCTTTATGATTGTAACCAAGCCAGCCAAAAAAAGAAGATGCATTAACCGGCATAGCAACAAACATAGTTCTTCAAATAAATGCACTAAAGCATAATTGTGAGGTAGATAACTATAACTCAAAAACTGTGAAATGAGGTGATATGAAACGAGTACCTAAACGGTTACAGCAAATGTACTGCTAGTGTTGCTAACAGTAACAGAAGTGTCTATGTATGTATGTATGTATGTATGTATGTATGTATGTATGTATGTATGTATGTATGTATGTATGTATGTATGTATGTATGTATGTATGTATGTATGTATGTATGTATGTATGTATGTATGTATGTATGTATGTATGTATGTATGTATGTATGTATGTATGTATGTATGTATGTATGTATGTATGTATGTATGTATGTATGTATGTATGTATGTATGTATGTATGTATGTATGTATGTATGTATGTATGTATGTATGTATGTATGTATGTATGTATGTATGTATGTATGTATGTATGTATGTATGTATGTATGTATGTATGTATGTATGTATGTATGTATGTATGTATGTATGTATGTATGTATGTATGTATGTATGTATGTATGTATGTATGTATGTATGTATGTATGTATGTATGTATGTATGTATGTATGTATGTATGTATGTATGTATGTATGTATGTATGTATGTATGTATGTATGTATGTATGTATGTATGTATGTATGTATGTATGTATGTATGTATGTATGTATGTATGTATGTATGTATGTATGTATGTATGTATGTATGTATGTATGTATGTATGTATGTATGTATGTATGTATGTATGTATGTATGTATGTATGTATGTATGTATGTATGTATGTATGTATGTATGTATGTATGTATGTATGTATGTATGTATGTATGTATGTATGTATGTATGTATGTATGTATGTATGTATGTATGTATGTATGTATGTATGTATGTATGTATGTATGTATGTATGTATGTATGTATGTATGTATGTATGTATGTATGTATGTATGTATGTATGTATGTATGTATGTATGTATGTATGTATGTATGTATGTATGTATGTATGTATGTATGTATGTATGTATGTATGTATGTATGTATGTATGTATGTATGTATGTATGTATGTATGTATGTATGTATGTATGTATGTATGTATGTATGTATGTATGTATGTATGTATGTATGTATGTATGTATGTATGTATGTATGTATGTATGTATGTATGTATGTATGTATGTATGTATGTATGTATGTATGTATGTATGTATGTATGTATGTATGTATGTATGTATGTATGTATGTATGTATGTATGTATGTATGTATGTATGTATGTATGTATGTATGTATGTATGTATGTATGTATGTATGTATGTATGTATGTATGTATGTATGTATGTATGTATGTATGTATGTATGTATGTATGTATGTATGTATGTATGTATGTATGTATGTATGTATGTATGTATGTATGTATGTAAGTGTACAAAAAACAGATAAACAAAAGATATCACTTACTGTATTGGTAGGGTCATCCTTTATCAGTTTAGCATATATATTCTGAGCATCTTCAAAACTATGAAATAACGAGAAACACAATTAAAGTTAACAATATGGACATTCAATTCATCCAATATACTTGTATTTCACTGTAATAAGTTAACTTTGCATTGAATTTTATAAGGTGACAGTAATTTTAACACTTTAATGAGTTATACAGGAATATACCAGTATACGATAGTACAATATGGTAACAACTTTGATAAAATCGTCCAGATGATAAGTGAACAGTGAACTTAGTGTTATCATAAAGCTGTTCAATTTATGAATTATATCGACAATAATTAGGAAGGAAACTGTCAGACAGCTAGATGTGACACAAAAATGGTGAACTTTTGATGCAACTTATAGTTGAATATACCTACAAACCTAACCACTTTCGTTACATTGAGAATTATGTTTCAAATATCTGCCTTACTGTGAACTGTTGTTTCCCAGTGACCAATTAATACACGTTACCCAGTCCTAAAGGAGGTAAGTTGCGGCTCAAATAGCTCAGTGGTAAAAGTCGTTGACTACAACACTGCGTGACTCAAGTTCGAAGCTCAGACACGACATCGGTTCTGTCGAGGTTGCATATATGCCTTGTTGACGAGTGCCAACAAGCAAGAAACCTAGTCCTAGAGCTTCCGGCCGATTGCCTCCAACCAAATAACATCTACCAACATGCAGTGCGACGGTCAGCTGTCTAGCTTAGTGGCCACGTTGCAAATATGATGGGTAGAATTCGGTCTGCACTCAAGACTATACAACATGAAATCGGTTGCTCCCCTGTGGCCAATCAATGTACGTCGTATACTCATAAATAAGAGGTTTATTTATCTGGTTCGAAATATACTCTAGAATTTTACTAGACCTAAAAAATATCCTAGACGTCAAGTTCAGAGCGAGTTCTCCATTAGACCAGTCTTCCGAAAGTTAGATTATAGTAATGAGAAAAAGTGAAGAAACGAAAAATTGATAGAAAAGATGTATTTGTAAACAAATAAGACGTTTTAAGAATGAGCTTCCACAAAAACCTGTGAACAACAAGTAATAATGATAATTCAAATCCTAAGCGTTGAATAACAAAGAAACAAGTTAGCCATTAATGTGACAGTGCAAGTGATCGGTACATGTCAGTTACTAAAATCGTTCTTTGAAACGCTACTTAAAGCATCCAAAAGAAAAAGTGGGACTAGTGATAAAGTAAAACCGAAGAACTGAAAAAACACCTATTGAAAATCGATTACATACACATATCATCATCATCAAACATGAACACAGAACCAGGCATTACTGAAGAAAGAAAGAAAAGTGGTTTAAAGAAAGTGGAAAGTCTGAAAAGAGAGACAAAGGAGGAATGAGAATGTGATGTAATTAAGTATTACGTTTAGGATAAGGATACATCTGCAACACTAACATGGGTTCTGACCTATGTCACCTAGAGTCTCCAACCACTGGTTTATCTTATCCTCCAGACCCTCAACCGGTTAGTGTACATCGTCCTATATGGCTTAAACCAACAGTCAAAGAATTCATGTATTCATGACATGTTTTAGTCTGACCACCCTGAGCCTTTTTCCAACCTGAACCTACTTCGTCAAACATTGTGTGATGAGACAGACAGTGGTTAGGCATACGTAACACATGTTCCAGCCATCTCAGTTGATTAAGGTTCATAGTCGCATCAACTGTCTTACCTCACTCCTGCCTAAAACTTTACGCCTGACCTCCGTGTTAATCACGTGGTGACAGCATGAAAGACGGCCTATGCTACAAAAGTAACACTCAAGTTTCCTCAGAAGTGCTGTTTTTCTCACGAGAAAAGTCATGATACAATTTTCAAGATCGACATGACATAAGTTCTTATAATTGACTTTGTGAATTTCAACCCCATACTAAAGATGTAAATGAATTCAAAAAAGAACATGTATAGTAAATGAAGTACTGAAAAGAGGTGAGAAACATTATTAGATAACTTGGAAATATAAAAACTATGCATTTTAATGTCTTGTTGAGTAAACTTACTTTCCTTTACTTTCTAAATACATCCCAAACAAGCGGTTGATGCGGGAACTGTTCCGAAATTTCGCCAGTAGACGATCGAGGCACTCCTGTGAAAGTAGATAATAAATGAATTTGACAGACTGTGGTATTTTTAAGAAAAATTAGAGTCATTTTTCACCACAATGCTATTAAAAACAAGGGTGTACTGGGTTAGTTGTTCCATAGGATTTGATTTCTGTGCATAAATTATACTTCACTTAGAAAATCCATTGAGACCAACTACAGTGAATGAAGTAATTAGTTCTGTTCAGTAATCAACTAACAGAGATATGTGTAGCTACACATAATGAAGCTGTGGTTTACATTGATTGGTCAGTGGTGTGGCACCCAATTTAATGTTGTCTACTTCCACGTGCAGACCAAATTCTATCCATCATATTTACAATATGGCCACCAAGCTAGGAGGCTCAGCATCGTGGTGTGCATTGGCAGATGCTAGTTGGTTGGAGGCAATCGACAGGAAGCCGAAGTAGACGGGACACCAGTTCCGTCAAGGCTGGAAATACACCTTACTGATGTATGCCAACAAGCATAAAACCTAGGTCCAGGGCTTCCTGACGATTCCCTTCAACTAACGTTTACCGAAGCTGTGGTTTATTGCTCTGAAAAAAACAAGTTTTCAGTTAGTGGGCCCCCGGGATTCGAACCACCAAGCATCTACTATGGTTTGACTAACCATACTTAAGTGATATACATATTAATATATGGAGAACGCTAAGGAAGTATAACAAACTAGCAATGTACTCAATATAAGGAACGATAAAACCATAACTAAAACTATAAAATTCAGTAATTTTAGTTGTCGTATAACACATGTAGATTTATAAAACACCATACAAGTAATAAATACATTTCTACCTAGAATCAATTATCGAGAAGTATGTAAAAGTGATCATCGTCATCGAGATCAACATAGAACCAAGCATTACTGCGTAGGGGTCCAAGTTGCAACACCTCATATTACCACACCAAGTAACAAGGAAATAAAATGGAAGACGAAGAAAGAAAGAGAAATAGATCAAAAGGAGTGGAAAGAAGTAAAAGGGAGAAAGGAGGAATGAGAAAATGATGTAATTAAGTATAGTGGTTAAGATGAGGAAAATGTGTGTATACACCTGCGCCACTGACACAGGTTCTGACCTATATCACCTAGAGTCTCCAACCACTGGTTTATCTTATCCTCCAGACCCTCAACCGGTTAGTGTACATCGTCCTACATGGCTTAAACCAACAGTCAAAGAATTCATGTATTCATGACATGTTTTAGTCTGACCACCCTGAGCCTTTTTCCAACCTGAACCTACTTCGTCAAACATTGTGTGATGAGACAGACAGTGGTTAGGCATACGTAACACATGTTCCAGCCATCTCAGTTGATTAAGGTTCACAACCGCATCAATTGTCTTACCTCTCCTCCCTAAAACTCTACGCCTGACCTCCGTGTTAATCACGTGGTGACACCACGAAAGACGGCCTACGTTGTGAAGGCAACGGTGGTCAAACACCTGAAGCCTCTTTATATATTCTGCCCTTAATAACCATGTTTCACAGTCATAGGGCAGAACGAAGCGGACTGCAGCGCACTACAATCGACCCCTTAATAGACAATCGGAATCGCGGCTGTCGAAGATTGCGTATGGAAGTAAAGAAACTAGTAAGGGCATATATTAATTGATAGTCATCTGCGCAACATTATAACCGGAGTAACCACCACCGAATAGAAATTAATGGCATTAAGTAATGCTATCCTTCTGTTTCCTAAAAATATCAAATCTATATTATACCTCTACGATCGATAAGAGAAGAAAATGACAATAGCAACTTAGCAGTTGTTTAATTGACAGATAGGTAGCTAGCTGGTCAAATGAAAATACAAATGAATAAAATAGTGGGGAGGAGGGGATGAAGAAATTTTACCGAAGTGTATGTGCATTTCATTAAATAGATGTGGCGTATAAGTCTGAAGTTTAACTAATTACGTCAGTATTTGAAGCTTAAAACATGCTAATTAGCTTGATGCAGAGATTCGAGTAAAAAAGTACAGATTACACGCTCAGAAGGGAAACCAAAAAAGCTAAAAACTTAGATCCAGAGTTTTCCTGTTAACTGAACTGTCAATTACTCGTCTATGACTCAGTGGTCTAGACTTTAGACTTCTAATCAGTGGGTCACGGGTTCGAAGCCCGCCTCACGTAGTATGATTAACGTCTAAACAATAGGTGTGATCTATTGCTTAGTGCATGAATATGCACGTGGTTGATGAGAGAAAGTTTCTAATTACCAGCCATCAAATAACTGTTTATAACCCCAGTCCACTTACTTCCGCCTAGGTAACCACCAAGAGGTAAAGTTGATAAGTTGTATTCCTTGGCAGATAAGATTTACTGAATAGTTAGATGAAGAGTGTGAACGTGGCCACCGTTTGATAACGCGTTCATGTGTGATCTAAATACATATGTACTTAAATCAGAAAACAGATTCATCAAAAATAAATGGGAAAGTATGCTGTTTTGAAATTACTAGTCACAGATCGACAACAGCAGAGAACCCCTGAAAACTGTAGAGGACTGGACAAATGTCTTGGCTTAATTTGAGACTCTTGAATGAAGCACTTATGATCATATGAGGAACTGAACCTAGGACGAGTGGTTGTTCCTACGCCAAGAACATTAGAAGTAAAGTTAACTGGGAAACAGTATCCCAATTGTTCACTGTAACATGATAATTGACTCAACGATCCATTCCTATTACATACTGTTTACGGCTAATATACATGGATAGATGTGAATCTTCGCAGAAAATAAAGGCAATAGATTGTATCATACACAACGCACTGACCAAATATCTGTTTTCTGTAAGTTGTATGTATAATATAAGGACTATTAAAACAAACTTAGCCACCTGCTCTAAAGTAAATAGAATTAAAATAACTTCCTTACATATTGCACAGATTACATCAACATTTCTCACAGCTAGCCGGTTTTTAGGCGCAACTTTGATGTGGCATAGACTGTGCATTAGAAACTAATAGCAATAGTATTTTGAAAAACCCTGTTCTGTGACCTGTATTTGTTTGGATGTCCAAATGATAAGCGTGATCTCAAATGAGAGGAACAACTAACTGATGCAACCTCTGATTATCAAAGTTTGTAAATTGTCGCGTGCAGTTTCTAATTGTTATTTGAAAATCTCGTTTGTCAGTTATATTGAGGTGGAACTGACGGTTTGAAAATGGTCATACTGAAGAAACAGAAGACAACTCGACAAGAGAATGTTTATTACGAACAATTGAAATGGTAGTGGTTACATATGGTACTCTTTGCACTAACGCAGCCATTTGCAAATGTCTTCGTTTCCTCTCTGTCCCTGTCTTGATTTGCTCTTGACCGGCTCTTCATACACTCTTGTCAGCAGCATCCCGTGTAATACGCCTGTGTTGTCCCCTGCGTTGCTCTTGGCAGAAACCTTACCCATTGCCGGTAATTCCCTATGATTCGACCCACCCTCTCGATATATACTACTTATATCCGTTGTTATCAGCAACGCCCACTACAATACTACCTGGGTTGAAGATTATTAACCAACAACTTCTGATTCGCATTTGTTGTATGGTGAAGATGAAAGTTGAATTCATATATTTCTAGGTATGTCACCTTAAAATTAAGTCAGATATTACAAACACAGACTACTAAGTAGTTTGATAATCAAGTTCTCTGAAAACGTTGAACTAAAAGCAGAAGTTTTAATGATTAGATTTTCTTATCTACATGCGATGCTTTTTTGAAAAAAGTCACTTCGTAGTTTTCCGCCGCTCAAATCATATCACGATACATGGCGACCATCTAATTCAGCATGACAAAAAGAATCTGGTCCTTGTTTTGTGTGAAGAATACGTGAAAACTGAGTTGACCAGTGAAGCAATAATATTCTCAGTCCTAACATCACCACATGTTCTGAATAATGACAGAGTTTAAAAAAAACGTTGGTACAGACTTTTAGCGGGTTAACGATGTTTCTGACCTTACTGAAGACTATTAATCGAGGATTGTGACTAGCAGTAGAATCCAGGACATTTCGTTTTACTTAGGACTCGTTAGCTGGATGTAACCTTCACCCCAGAGAGTACTGTTCCCACTGGAGTGGCAAGACACACGTCTTGGATCCCACTGGTAGCCACTGTCCATGATTAATATCAAAATTGAAAACACCGGCAATATTGAGGCATCCGTATAGGAGCACATATGCGAATAGTGGCTGACCAACCCAATCACCGACGGATATTAACACCAAAGACCTATTTAAAAAATCTTAAATATACAAATATCTACTAAAAAAAGACATTGCTGAAGTTCGTCGGACAAAAAATGAAACTTACTCTTGCACCATTGACAGACAATAAAACACAGTAGAAGATGAAACAATCAACAAAGTTGAAACTACTAAATAAATAGCTTTATTAATCATCTATCAGTGGATGTGTTAGAGTGCAACTTCAATATGGAAGCCACCGCTGATGGTGTTGCCTAGAAAGACCACCAAGTGTTTACCTGAACTATGAATACTTCTAATAAATACAAATAAAACCAATAGAAAGTTCCCTGGGTGCAGAAATATACTTGTAGTTTCTTGCTGGTACACAAGATCGAATTACTTGACCTCTGTTAGCAGATGGGCTACTGTGTGGATGCCTCAATACAGCCTGGATATTCATTAGAATGTAGTCTATTTGAGAGCTAGCAGTGGAATCAAAGATGCGTGTTCCATCCAATTTCGGACTCGTCAGCTGGAAGTGCCTGCACCCCAGTGAGTGATGTTGCTCCCACTGAGACTCGAACCGAATACTCATCGCTTCAAACACTAAAGCGTTATCCAATAGGCCACTGGGGCACGACAGCCTCCACTTGTGCAACGAGTATCAGTTTTTGTTTGTTGATACTTGTAATTTCTTGTTGCTACATTGGGTTGAATTATTCGATCTCTGTTGGTTGTCAAGTGGATAACGCTTTGGCGTTTGAAGCGATGGGTACCGACTTCGAATCTCAATGTGGACAACACCACTCACTGGGATGGAGATATATATCCAGGCAACGAGTTCCAAACAGGATGAAACGTGCATCCTGGATTCCACTGCTAGCCATCAAATAGACTATATTCAGGACATAGTTGTTACAAATGTACTGGACGAATTCGGGTGATGAGCCTGATTTCTTCATCATAAAAATGATTTTTATCAAAATACGATTTTTCTGAACGTTCTTCTGTGTAAGCCACAGTTTCTTCAGCATGGTTTACTAATAATTGTGAATGTATTTTCAATGTACACATCATGCCCTGTATCTAGTAGATGGATTTGCTATTGAACTATTGATACTATTTACTCCTTTCAAACTCAGATTCCTTGATATATGTTCAACGAAGTGGGTAGAATTTGGTCTCTCAGTTCTTTCAATGTACCTGCTTTGTCACGTACACACCAATCGGTAGATATAAATGAAAGCAACATAAGACTAGTCTTTGTCTACCATGATTTGTATTACTGAAAAGTTTGTTTCATGAAAAGGCATTAATCTCGTCATTGGGAATGTCCCGTTGAATGCAGCTTTTAACTTTGAATTGATTCTGCGGTCCTCGTCTCAGGTCTGCGTGTTTAAAATATAGGATGGAGTCTACCAAGTTACTCCCTTGAAGAACCTCTTTCTCTCTATGATACCCATATTGCCTGATATTCAAGGATATTACTGACATTTATTGTGAATTACTGACTTCATTAGCCTGAATGCAACTGCTAAGAATGCAGCGACACACACCAGACTCATCATTTTCCCTAAAATTATTCGGTATTATCTTTTTTATTTAATAAAATAGGATGGTGAGTGAAGCTATAGCAAAATAAGAATCACGAAAAGATCTCAACAAGTGGGCCTATTTTTATTGAAGGAAGGGTGATGTTTCATGTATTGTATTGAGCAGCATAAGAAATTGTCAAGTCGCGAAGAAACAAGGGGGGATCGTGAAACTTAGCATCTGCTTTATCAGTCTCCTCACAATTTACAGCTTGATATAGGTTCTACAGTCAGGAAGTTATTATTCAACTTTGGTCACGTACTTTGCTGATATAAATAAAGTCGTTGCATTTAAAGAAATCCGACAAAAATTTACTCAAGGATACAAACTTACACAAGCCAAATCTTCATCTCCTACATCTAGCGCAGCAATGAATACCTGTTCCAAAATTGAATACTCTGGTAAAAAAAAAGAAAGAAAGATGAAGAACACAAAAATGTTTCATCAAATAACTAACTACTAAGAGTGTAATCTCATTGGTTTAGATAGACACCTAATCATTGGTTAACTGGTTAAAACCCAGTTCAAATGACTTCAACTAAACAACCAGGTAGTATTGTCAACCTTTACACCCTACGGAGTCCTATATAGTTCAATTTATAAACTTGGAACTAAGCCGTTATGGTGCATTATCTCAACTCATACGCTAACCAAATACATCAAAAGTAAAACAACACCAGAACCTTATATATACACCAACCATTTAGTGTTGATCATGAGTGCTGGTGATTGTATGTCTTCCGTCTATATTTGTGCTATTTACTATCAGCTTATACTTCCACTGTTCCAGTTATAGGTTTGCAGATTACCAGGAAAGAATTGAATAGCTATCACGAAATTTGGTTACAGTAACGTGAAACGCTCAAATGAATTTTAACTTCATGTATATAAACATTTATTTTGTTATTACTAAAATAGGAGCAAACTCCTAGTTAATACATTTACTGATGTTGAAGAATCCAGTAAAGGCCAACGAAATGATTAGTGCATTCATGACTTGAATAAGAAACTCTATGGTCATCACAAGTCACCTTTCAGCGTTTTGTACAGCCTGAATAATGCGACACTGGTAGACGTATCCCACTAGTTTTTATATATTTCCTCTTACAAGATGGATACGATAATAGCTTTACTTTAAAGTAATAGAATACCGCAGACCAAATTGCAACGCTACGCATCATCATAGAACAGAGTATAGAATGGCAGTCAACTCAACTCTCTACCTCAACTTCATCGACTTTGAAAACGCCTTCCACAGCGTCGACCGACAAGTAATTTGGAAACTGCTTCAACACTAAGGAATATTACAACCCTTATCAACCTCATTCAACAAGTATATGAAGACGCCACATGACAAGTAATTCACAGTGGAAAGCTCAGTGATGCCTTTGAAGTGAAGACAGGAGCAAGACAAGGCTGTCTACTATCACCCATGATATTCCTGATTGTAGTGGACCGGATCATGTAGCAAACAGTGACGAGCAAGAAGAGGAAGATACGCTGGACCGCGGAAAAGAACCTAGAAGATTTGGATTTCGTCGATGATTTATGTTTAATGTCGCAAACTCGAAGATCTACAGGTGAAAACTAACAAGTTGACAGAAGAGGCAGGGCAGCGAAGACGGGACTTCAAGTGAACGTAAAGAAGACAGAGGTGATGATGATTCCCAAACAACGCCACCACTAACAACAAGCTCCAATCACCATCAACGGGAGAAACTTAAAGGAAGTAGCCTCTTTCACCTATCTAGGCAGCACTGTTCCAACTACAGGTGGCATAGATAAGGACGTCAAAGCCAGGATTGGAAAAGTAAAACAGGCGTTCATTAACCTGAGACCAGTGTGGAGATCTACTGCACTGCACTCAGTATGTGGAACAAGATCCGGATTTTCAACATCAACTACAAGTCAGTGCTTCCATATCATGGTTCAGAGATTTGGCGGGTTACGAAAGGCAATTCCAACAAACAACAGACATTTATCAACAAATGCCTACGCTCGTTAATGAATATCAGATCTTAAGGCCAGAAAGAATAAGCAACAAGGAACTCTGGGAACGAACCTACCAAGAACCTATCGCCCAACAAATATGCAAAGGGAATGGAGATGGATTGGACATACACTGAGAAGACCATTTGGGGACATCACGTGCCAGGCCAGGATATCGAGTGTAACCCAGATGGGAAACGGCGAGCTGGGCGTCCCAGCTGAGGGTGACATGGAGAAGATCACGTGAGGAAGAAATGAGAGCTTCTGGGCAGTCGTGGAGCCAGGTTCGAAAGATTGCAGGGAACAGAGTGCACTGGAGACGTGCTACTGAAGCCCTATGTTCCACTAGGAACCCAAGGGACAAATAATAATAATTATTATTATTATTATGATAATAATAATAATAATAATAATAATAATAATAATAATAATGGAATAACACTGGGATGACTGGTCATCTCTTTAACTAACCGACTTCATTCTTAGGGACAACTGGAATTAGGCCACTCACGATAGTTGTCTTACAGCTGAAACTCTGCTTATCGTGTGGATCAATATTCACAGAAAGCCTTTATCCACCAAACAGATAAGTAGAATAATTCTCACACGTTTCATCTGACATTGTCGCTAATTACTGTTTCTTAGTCTGCGTTGGATGCTTATTTTGGTTCACGAAAATTGCCATATAATATAGAAGTAGTATGACTGGAGAAAAAAGAGTAATCTAGGGGACCAATGATTTTTTTTCTAACGTTTTTGAACATGGTTATGTGACAACTAGACTCCATCATTCAGTAACTGTGTACAAGTTCATCTACCAGATAATAGATCATACCCATTGTGTGTTGATAGTACAATATGGTCACTCAAACGACAGTGAGTTGAGTGAGTAGAGCTTTGGATGTGTGAACTTCTGGTATAATGTCGACGACATAATTCAAGTAACCATCAGGTATGCATTACCTTCTAAATAAATCATTTCAGCCAATTGACTCACGAATGGGACCTTTAACAAGTGTGATACAAATAATCGACAAGAGTTATCAAAACTAACCGTGCCTTTTTTTTGAAAGTTGAAAACAAAGCAATGTAGACAATAGCATTAAGTAATTCCTATCGATAATAGATTGAATGAATAAAATACTGAACTGTTGCCAGTGAAAATAAAGTAAACAAACGCAGAACGAGACACTTCATAAAATAAAAACAACAGTTAGGAATAGGAAATAGTGAAGACAAGATAATGTCAATTTCAATCACTGCTGTAAAAACAACCAAGATAATAACAACTACTCTAGTCGACCACTGAATACTGGGGTAAAATATTCCTACAAACATCATCTACTCCAACTTCTGAAATTAAGATAAGGGTCATGGTCTAGTACATAAGAGCTATGCAAGGCTTCTTAGTCAAATTTCACCAAATAACTGCTTCATTATGCATTACATATGGTTGAAAGCTTGCTCATCGGACACAATCTGTAAACAGGTCATGAAATTTTGGGTTGCAAATTCAGTATATTTTTTCCCTTCAGTGAAAAAAAGTTATGAAAGACAATTTATATGGAGTCAGTGAATTAGCACAATCGAAAGACTTTAAAGAATAATAATAAACTAGTGTCCGCCAAACAGGAAGAATACAGATAAATCAATGTACAGCAATGTATTCAAGCGCATTAGTTTACGTTCATACATATCGAAGCAGTAAAGAAAAAGGTGAAGAGAAACAGGATGATATGAAGTAGACAAGTAAATAAAAGGAGAGAGAATACAGAATACATAAGTGAGTGCACACATCAGCATAGTTCAAACCGATTTTGAGCCATATAACAAAGAGTCAATCAGCATCAGGATGGCACTCAGCATTGTCGAGTAACGGTTTGAATTGTCACAACTCACACCATCACATCCAGACACAAAGCAGCAAAATAAAAAAAGAAGGAATAGACAAGTAAGTTACCAAAAGTCGTAGAAATTTATGTAAAGAAAGAAAGAGCGGGCCAAACTGTAACGAAATGTGAAATGACGATTTACATGTAGCCTACAGTCTCCGACTACTCGTTTAGATAGTCTTACTGGTGGTTAAGTATATGTAACGCATGTCTAAGCCATCTGAGTCAATGAAGGTTCACAACCATAGCAACTGAAATACACTTTCTGCCTGATGTCTGCGTTGCTGAGATGCTGGCACCACAACACGCCCTATGCTACAAATGCAATGGTGGTTGAACATTTGAAGCCTTCCCGTATTTCACAGTTGTATAATAAAACAGGGCGAACTGGTGCACAGTACGCTCAACCACTCGGTAGGAAATTGGATATCATGGTAGAGCTATATGTTGGGAAAAACCAAATGAGTCGTTTGCATCCGTGGAGATTTCTTTTTTCACTAACCCATAGGGACCGATCCAACTTCCAAAGTAAGTGAAGTGGTCAACGCGCTCGGCCATTTCACTATCTATCTCAGGAAAGGGCACTAAATAAAACTAGTCGTGGAGTAACAATTTGCATTTGGTGGTGGGAAACACTTCCAAAACATTCTCCAGTTGTTACTCAAAGTATCCAGAAAACCATCCACTTTGTCAACATCTTTACATAACAGGACTATATCATCTGTATACTCTGTGACGAGGTAAATCCCGATAAAGTCAGATGAGGAAGAAGAAACCTCTATAAGCGTGTTTATGATCCTTTATCAAGAGTATTCAAGCGCTGATTATTATCATTTTGATCATTCTAGTCAAGCAGCATACACTGCTGGCGGCAAAAGTCAGAAACGTCACGGACTGATGCCACCCTTAACCTTTTTCAAAATTAGGTCTAATTCAACTAACACTGCACATTGAGATAAACAGAGGAGCTGTATGTGCAACACCATCAAAGCACTTCGATCCGTGGAGTAGCCAACACTCATGCATCTTAAAACGATGTCTATAACAAACAAATATCTTGGGTGCGGGAGTTCGAGATTCAAAAACCACTGTCATCAAAATAATTATAGAAACCAAAGATATGCGAAGCTACGCAATAATCAAATTTACATACTTTCATAACCCAATTTGTTTATACAATCGCTTAGTGACAACTTCCACAGATCAACAACTCTTTCATTTTCTCGAAGACCACCTTCGCGAATTGCACGTAACTCATCCAATGCACCTGAATTAATGACAAATAGGGTGATATGAACACCAAATGCGATTGATGGAATTTAGAAGTTATAATAAAAATAAGTGAAAATATTTTAAATCAAAAAATGATGGTTTTCACATGTGAATGATAGGTGGGATTGACAACACATTCATCTCCCTTCCTGAAAGTCATCGTGCAGTCAAAATAATCCTATATTCGACGCATCGCCTCTATTATTATAGAAAGTAGACAGTGAAAACCCTAGTTATACAACTCAGTATTTCGAATATCAGATAATAACCAATCTATATCACTTAATCTTACCCACAAGTCTCTCACGCGAGGATCAGTCACAAAGAATAAGTTTAACACTAGGGCTTTGTACACGCAGTTATCAACCAACCGAACACCAGGCTATAGTCGATGACAGTTTGTTTTATCTTAAAGTTTAAACATGTCTGACTGTTTTAGTGGCTTATGCTAGCGACGCTATCTGAAAAAGTGATGATATTCCTTTTGAGAAGCAACCGTTTCACGGATGTAAGTTAGAAGAGGATGACAGTTATAGAATTAGAATGTTTGGTACACGAAAATGCAGCCCGGTCATCGATTTCGGTACACTATGATGCTAGGTAGCGTTTATGAATAGTTGTTACCGTACACACCTTTAAAATGAATCTGCGTAATGTATGCTGATTATTAGGTTACTAGTTTGGTAACAGAGATGTCCAAAATGTTGGCTACTATCACGGACCACACGTAACAAGTGAAAAGCTGATTAATAAGAAGTAGAGTGAGTTTTTTGGAGCTGTGGTTGACTGGTCTAGGCACTAGGGATGTCAACCAACGGTTTAAATAGAGCTCCACCTATCTACATCTGGACAACTAGTTAGTATCATTCGCCCTCACAATGCGTAGCTCACTGTCTACTGAACGAAAGTGAACAAGGTTGTTGAATGGATTCCACTTGATTCTAGAGTGAGTTTTGTGTAGGCAATGAGTTTATTGATCATTTATTCACTTATTGTAAGATATTATAACAGTTATATGCCCTGCAGGTCAAAACACGTGTTTCTACACCACACAGCTACACATGACTTATTCGATAGGACAGTGCTCATGAATTTTCTGCTTAATAGGGCTTTCTTATGGTGATCTCCCTATCGTTATCTGGCTTCACAGGGACCGATCTAAGGGAATCCAAGGGAATCCTTGGTAGATCTAGAGCAGCCAGATAACACAGTCCTGTTAGGTGAAGACGCTGACAAGATGCTTAGCATTCTGGACACCTGGAGTGACAATTTGAGAATGTTTGTGATGATTTTCTCGCCACCCAAATGTAAACTGTTGCTCCAGGACTGGTCTTTAACGGTTCACAGTTGCTGCAGTTCGCTTTGTTCCACTGTATGGCTATGAAACATGACCATTAAAGATGGAAGGCATCAGGAGGCTCCTGGTATTTGACCACAGTTGCCTTCAGAGCATAGGCCGCATGTCACGGTGCCACCGTGTCAGTAACTCAGAATTCAGGTGATGAGTTTTAAGACGGAAAGTCAGTTGATGCGATCGTGAACCCTAATGGTCTGAGATGGTTTGGACATGAGTTGCGCACATTTAGTCACCGTATGCCTCGTCGTGAAATGTTGGCTGAAGGTTCAGGCGGAAAGACGCTCGCGTCGGCAAGACTAAAGCATGGCATTATTGCATGAAGTCCTTGACTGTTGATCTGAGCCAGGTAAGGAGATGCAAACCAGCCGGTTGGGATCCACGCGGCAGCAGAAACCAGACTCTAGGTGATATTGCTCGGAATCGATGTCATTGGAGCATATGTACTCACACATTATCTTAATCGCAACCGCTATACTGAATTCAGCATTTTTTTATTCCTTTTTCTTATGTGGACTGTTTTTAACCGAGTTTTCCTCATTTTTTCATCTTCCATCTCATTATTTTGTTGTCTGATGTGCTGAAATGAGATGAGATGGCCTTATGTTGATACTGTTGTTGTTTGTCCCGAAAACAGCACATCTCTTCTATCATGCGGTATTCTAGTGCCTATGGTATGGATTTTATATCCAAACTCAACATAAAGTCATATCTCGAGTTTCTAAAAATGTCGTTTATGAGCAACCTCAAGCACATATTTCGTAGACTCTGCGGTCAATTAAGCACTATTACAAAAACTTTTTTCCCCAGGTACTGCAAGAAGTTAGCTTACAGGATGTGGGCAGCAGGATAATGTCAACAAGCTTCACAAAATGTCAACACTCAAGTTCCCTCAGATCATTATCAACCTACCATATCTTTGCTTGCAAACCACTCTTCAAATTCCTTTGTCAATATCTAAACATCACCTATAGTTTCTGACAACTCTGCAGCTCATGATGACGATTCAGGAAAGCGTAGTACTCCCGATTTTCTAAAGCCACGCTGGAAAATAATTTTCAATGTTTAAATTTTTTGTTGAATCCGAAATTAAGTCTAGCTGGCAAAAAGTAGCATCGGGAAGCGTAGATATATCCACTGTCTATGAGACACACAAGCATAGTTATTTACTTAACCTCATCCAGTGAAAAGGATGAATCTGCTATATTCACTCTTCGAGTTTTTTACAACTCATAAGCGAATGAAATGGTTTCAAGTCCTTAGTCAGAAAGCGTACTGTTCGACTGGATCTCAGCTGATAATCGTCTGTAGGCTGTTTGAATGCATGATACAGTGAAGACTAAAAGGAATAGTACAGTTCACTGTTGTCTTTGTAGTCCCTGCTTATGCGCGCACTGACTACAGTTCGAATGAAGTTAAGCTTGCGTTTTACCGAAAACAGTTTAGCCTAATTCTGAAAGGTTAACTTTCAGATATGATTGACGTAGTGGACGATTTCAATGCACAAGTGAGTAGGTTAAGTTACGACGAAAGGGACTCAAATGGCACTTTCGGAATCCCGATCGAACGAACAACGACGATTGCTTGTTACAACTGTGCTCAGACAGCCATCTATTTCTGGGAAGCACAGAATTCAGCAAGAAAATAGATTGTTAGATGTGGCGTTCACCGACCTCAAACGCAGCGGTGGACATAGACCATATTGCTATGAGTTATCGCCGAAGAGTGTAGGGAAAAGACTCCTGCCCCTGTTAGAGTGCGTGTCCGAAAAGTGATCATGAGTTGGTTCGAGCACGTCTGCGCTTAAGTGGAAGAAGCAAAACAATAGCACAAAGAACATTCCAAGTGCGGCTCGAAGATAAGAATACTAAAGCCACATTTAATGAAGTACTGGATACAAGGTCATCATAACAGGGCATCACTTACTATAAAAAAGCCTGGTGCCATCTCTAGTCTTCTGTAAATAAAGAGCGGCAGGCCGTAAGTGATTCTCAGAAAAAGGTTAGAAAGGGTCAGCAAACCTAAACAGCTTCTTCTGAAAGAAGATATGCATTTGAACGCACCCGTTCAGGCTAAATCAACTCAAATGTAGGCTGACAAAATCTACGCAATCGCTGTGAGCAGTTGCAGGTAGGGATGACTTAAGAGCTGGCGGCGATAGGTAACACTAAAGTTATTTAGACTGATCAAATAAATTAAGATAAAAATATGATTACTGAGACTATGACGGAAAAGGATGGGTTTGTTATTTTCTCGCAGATAAGACCACTAGAACGATGTGCGGGACATAGAGGAACAGTTTGACGGGTCTGCAGATACGCATCTGTTGCAAGACATTCACTTACATCCTGAAAGCTGAGCCAGACTAGAGGGCGACTGAGAGATATCTATGATATCCCATACCAACAAACCAACAACAGTGAGCATTTTCTGCAATTTTGTCCTGGCAATAACTTGTTTCTGACCATCACTAACTTCAAGTCTAAGCAGAGGCACTATCTCACATGGTATTCGACGACAGACATAGATAGATTATATCGCTGCAAGCTATCGTTGGGGAGGATCAAGGTAGGACTGCCAATCTTTCTGGAGTACCTGCTTGAACTCTGACCACGCGTTAGTACGGGCATGTTTATATCTGCGCCTTAATGGTAGCAGAAAGTAGACGGTAGAGAAGCATATGTCTGCTCGATTGGAAGATGAGAACAGCAAATGGGTATTCAGGAAGGAGATAGACAACCACTGATCTTAATGTGAGAGTAATTCTCATCCCCATAAAGCATGGAGTGATGTTTAGTGATGTTCGGTAGAGATAGTTGATAATCTACATTCAAAGTTTAGTTAAAGGTAGGACATTTCCGCAACGTAACCCTAACTGACTGGTGAAAGAAGATTCATTGCAGCCGTGATCACAATGAGGGCGGAAAGCAGCTAAAATCGAATAGAGTAACGAAGGTGCAACGTAATGTATGGGAATCAGAGGCAGTTCCGTTAGACTAATTCACTTCAACGATCATCCTAGTTTATAAAAAAGAAGTCGTTGTGACAACTATATGGCATCAGTTTGATTAACATCTCATTCAAGATCCTAAGGTCCATAGTCATCCAACGTATAATCAGGGCTTGAGAACAGCAAACTCAGGGAAACTAAGCAGGTTTCAAGCCTGGACGAGGGTGTATCAATCAGATCCTCAAATACAATCACCAGCAACCGACACTTGCCATATTTCTTCACTTGAAGAGAGCATTCAACTCTGCCGATCAAGAGGTGTCGCGGCAGTGTCTAGTAGTGAAGAGAGTACCCAAAAAGTACGCAATGCGAGTCAAAGCTCCCTACTCCGAGTAATACAGCCGCGTAACAGCTTATGGAGAGTTACTGTCTGAATTGATGAAAACTTGTGGTAAACATCAAGAATGCCCACTGCCAACGTCCATGTTCACACGTACTACGTATGCCCAGTCACCGACTGCCTCACCACACAATGTTGGCTGAGGTGGGTCCAGGCTGGAAAAAGGCACGAGGTGGCCAGACTAAAACACAGTACCAATGTATGAAGTCTCTGACTGTTGGTTTAAGCCATGCAGGACGATGCAGACTAGGTGGTTGGGGTCCGCGGGACAAGAGGAACCAGTGGTTGGAG